ACATTAATGGAGATTTTCACATTATATCTAGATAACGATGGAACCCAGGTTGAAACTGGTTATAGATTATGCCGTTTTGGTTCATTATGAACAATTTTTATCTACAAAATATTTCTCAATTAGTTTTAGATTTTGACTCATGACATATTTTACAAGCGCAATCCATTCATTTCCTCATTTATGAAGATTTTTGCGTTGTATCTAGATAATGATGAATCTTAGGTTCAAATTAGTTATGGATTATGCCTTTTTGGTTTATAATGAACAATTTTTGTTTAAAAAATATTTCTCAGTCAGTTTTAGATTTTGATTCATGACATATTTTACAAAAACAATCCATTCATTTCCACATTAATGAAGATTTTCGCGTTATACCTAGATAACGATGGAACCTAAGTTCAAACTGGTTATGGATTATGCTATTTTGGTTCATTATGAACAATTTTTGTCTACAAAATATTTCTCAATCAGTTTTAGATTTTGATTCATGAAATCTTTTACAAAAACCATTCATTTCCACATTAGATTTTCACATTATATCTAGATAACGATGGAACCCAGGTTGAAACTGGTTATAGATTATGCCGTTTTGGTTCATTATGAACAATTTTTGTCTAAAAAATATTTCTCAACCAATTTTAGATTTTGACTCATGACATATTTTAGAAAAGCAATCCATTCATTTCCACATTAATGAAGATTTTCACATTGTATCTAGATAACGATGGAACCCAGGTTGAAACTGGTTATAGATTATGTCGTATTTTTATCTACAAAATATTTCTCAATCAATTTTAGATTTTGACTCATGACATATTTTACAAAAACAATCCATTAATTTCGTCATTAATGAAGATTTTCGCGATATACCTAGATAACGATGGAACCGAGGTTCAGACTAGTTATGAACAATTCTTGTCGGTAGTTTTATCTGTAGGTCTATTTTTGCATTTAAATGACCATGCACTGGGGCCTCTTTAGCCACATGATTTACATTTTCTGGGATGTGCATTTAAGGGTGTTGTGGCAATTTTTTAAAAACTTTTTCGTTTTAGGTAACGCACCCAATGAGCACAACAATAACAGTTCAAGATTTGGGAAATTACTCCAATTGCAATGGAACGACGGCCAAATTGTTGGGGCCTTCATAAAAACGTTTTTATTAGAAAAATGTAGAGTTTCCGGGCCGAACCTCAACGAAGGAAATTTTCATATTTTTCGCCAGGTTTTTGAATCCTTCAATTTAATTTTTTAATTTAATTTAATTTGTAGATTTTAGATAGCCTCGATCCCGAATCATTATCAAATTTGTATTTAGACCCGGAAATAATCTACAAAATAGCCCCACCTTCCGATAACATAATAAGATCAACTTACGCAGAAACCGCGAAATCTTTAAAAATGTTAAACATAAACGAACTAAACGAAATCATGATCATTCTCGCGATCATTTTAAATCTGGGAAATGTCGCGTTTATCACGAAAGATGACCACATCCACATCGGGAGGGAGTCACAAAAATTTTTATGCAACACCTCAAAACTTTTAAAAATCGAGCCTGAGGCTTTAATAAAATTGTTAGTGACCAAAACGTTCGTAACAAAAGCAAGAGATTCGATTTACACATCGCTTTGTTCTAATAAAGAGGAGTGTTACGAAAGAAGAAATTGTTTGATGAGGTACCTTTACAACAACTTATTTTTGTGGTTAATCGATCGTGTAAATGAACAAATTTATTACCCCGAAAACGATTATAAATTATTGGGAATCTTGGATATTTATGGCTTCGAAGTTTTTGAAAGCAACACTTTCGAACAGCTTTGTATTAATTACGCCAACGAACGTTTACAACAATTTTTCGTCTGTGATCATCTTTTAAAGCAAAAACGAGATCTTGAAAGTGAAGGATTTTTCATCGAAAACATTGACACATCGAGTTATTCCCAAAGAATCGATCTTTTAGATGGAAACGTTTCGATTTTTGGTGTCTTAAACGAAGAGTGTACAATGAAACGTTTTAACACCGACGTTTTCGTAAATGCGAGATTATCAGAAACGTTTAAAACTAACAAGTATTTTGAAAAATCGGCGAATAATTTCTCAACGATTTTTGTAATAAAACATTTCGCGGGGGATGTTGCTTATAACACGAAAACGATGTTGTTTAAGAATAGGGATAAAATCCCTGATGAAATGATTGGGTTTTTAAAAGAATGCAAATTTCCTTTTTTAGAGTGCATCCTCGAAACGAATAAGTTAACGAATAAAACGTCTTTGGGGAAATTTAAAAAATCTTTAGACGATTTAATCAACATTTTAAACGAATCGGATGTTCATTACATTAAATGTTTAAAACCGAATAACATTCAATTAAGCGGATTCGTCGACGAATTATTTTTAAACAATCAGTTACATTCAAACGGGATTATTGATATCTTAAAATTACAATTTCAAAACTTTTTTATTAAACTCCCGGTTAAAGAATTTTTAAAATCGGTTTCAAAGAACACTTTTAACATCCTTGAAATCATTTTTAAAGAATCAATTCATGTCGGAAACGAATTTATTTATTTAACTGAAGATGCCTATTTCGGATTTGAAATATTAAAATGCGTCGAACGCTCTTCGGCGGCTAGAAAAGTGCAACGATGTTGGATTAATTACGTGCAACGTAGAAAAACGATCTTAACCATACAACAATTCGAAAATAAGAACAATATTATTGAGGAAATGATCGATTTGCGTAAAACGTCGAGTGAGGTTTACATCACAAGAGATGATTCGAGTGTTAATTTGACGGATCATTTCACAACTTCTTGTATGAAAGCTGAGGAATATTTGAGGGTTCATTATGTGAGGAAAAGTTACGAAGGCGAACCTTTATCTTTGTGTTTAGAGAAGATTTTTAATAACGTTGAAACCAAAAAATTTAAGAGGGTTTTGTTTTTTGGTGATCGTATCATTAGTTATAATAGATTAGCTGAGGTAAATTCTTAATTTACATCGACAAACAATAAATTACTTTATTTTTAGATTCCAGTGCGATTACACCTTTCAAAAAGTTGTATTCCTTATTCGAATTTATTACCCAAATCTGAATTGGCGAAAGGATTAACTGATATTTTTTAATTTTTATGTGTAACTATATCATTAAAGAAAATTTTTAATTTACTTTGGTGATTCACTTTATTATTGCAATTAAATGTGGTAAAACGTTAACTAAATTTGTAAACACCCGTATATATTATAATGTAATTTGTTAATTGCGAATATAATATAAGAGGTAACAAAATTCGATTTATCTTTTTTAGCTTCATAGATACCTAAGGTAATCAAACTTTAAATATTTGTTGTTTAAAAACTTTAATTCATAAATACCAAAAAGTAAACAAATATTACACCGCCATCTATCGATAGCGATTGTGACTAAGAAATAAGTTTTAACATAACTCATTAGTGCAAGTTAAATAATTAAAATACTCATTATTAATTAATTTAATTTTTTTAAACAATAATTTATTATAATTCTAAATTTAAACTAAAATATATTAAAAAAAAAGTAATAAAAAGATCCCTAACTTATCCCTTAACGTCAACGAGTAGCCGTTGCCATGGCAACCAAGTAAATCAAAACAAACCAAACGTCAAATTGATTTTGTACCCAAAATCATGTCTTATAGAGATATAAGAAGTAAATTACAATTTAAAACTTTAAATTAGATAAAATAAACGTTAATTTGTTTTAGATTTTACCGAAATGCTTCGCGCGCTCGGTTACCCAACTTTAATCTCAATGGAAAACTTTCGCCAACCAAATTTCCCTTTGGTAGCGGACTTATTAATTTGGTTCGCCAAAAGATTTGATCCGGACGTTGATTTGCCGAGTTCTTATGACACGGAAGACGAAAGAGTGAATCTAATTAGAAATGCGGCGCAATTTATGGTAAATATCTTAAAATAAATCAAAAATTTGATTCAATACTTTATTGCTTATAGGCCATTAAAGCCAACATTAAATTTAACACGAAACGTTTGTACCAAGCAGACGGTTTCGCCGTTAAAGAACTCTTAAAAGTTGCAACTTTATTATATGACGCTTTAAAAGTGAACGATTTGGACCATTTGGATGATTACGACGATGTTAATTTGAAGGAATTCGATATTAGCGACAAAGTAAGTTAATATAAATCAATAAAATTGTACTTAAATAACTGCTTTTTTAAGTTACACGATTTAAAGCAATCCCGACAACTTGCCAGCGAAATAACGAGCACTGGAGCAACCCTTTTTGACTTATTAACCAAGGAAGTTGAGTTAAAAGTAGCTAGAAATGTAAGCTCATCGAAGCAGTACGAAGTTAGCGAGGTTGAAAGTGGAATTAAAAAAGCTATTGATGGAATTAAGGAGGAAATCTTAGAAACGAAACAATTAATCGATAACGTATCAGCAACGGAAGCGAGTTTAGACGCAAAAATTGAAAGGAGAAAAATCGAAATTGATCGCTACGAAAAAAGATTGCAAACTTTAAAGAAAGTGAAACCAGCTTTTTTGGAGGAATTTAACACTTTAGAAGCTGAGCTTGAGAAATTATTTATTCAATACTCGGTGCGATTGCGCTGTTTAAATCAATTGGAAAAAGCTGCTGCGGAAGCTGAGAAAGCTCATATTGAAAAACAACGAGTTATAACAAAAATCCCCGAAAATGTAGCAATTTTAGACGAGGAAGGTGAAGAGGATGAGCAAAAAGTTGAAATTGATGACGAAAATGATTCTCAAATTCAAAGACAAGAACGTCCAAGAGCTAGAACGGGTTAATTTTGTTATTGTTGTAAAAAAACAATTAATTTATTTTTTTTTGTAGGGAGATTACGCTCTGAAAGACCAACAACTAATATTTTTGGGGGGAAAAAGCCCGAAAACGACTCTTTAAGTGGCTCATCTTTAGATCTAAGCGATTCCGAAACCGACATATTTTTAGATAAGGATGAAAGCGAATTACAACATTCAGACGACGAAGATTCATTCGGTTTCGAGATATCAAACGTGAATAGAAAAAAAAATTTTGAGGATGAAAAATCTGGCCGAAAAACCGTTAATAAAATCCAAGATAACAGCGATGATGATTTTTAAATTATTTAAATTTGTACGCTAACTTTAGATAGTTGTAAAAATTGTCCTTTAGCAACTTGAAACGTTGAATTCGTTCGTAATTTAATCCCAAACTGTTTTAAAGTGTCTTCAACGGTGGGGTATAAAAACATTAAAGCTCCGTGGTCTAACGATGGGAATAAATGGTGCATTATGTGATCGCCAAACGTAATTAAACCCCAAAAATGAGATTTATGCGTTTCAGTTCTATCCATGGCGGCTAAAATTTGATATAAACCCCAATCAATCCCTGATTTAGACCTAAAAAGAATTTGATACTAAAAATTAAGAAAGTTAATAAATTCTTACTCGAAATAATCCCCATCGTGAAATACATCCGGGTGATGATGCCCAGCGTTTAAACCAATAACCCCTACAAAAAAACTGCTGACTAAGTAGACCCAAACAAACATTTTTATTGAAACAAATATCGATTGATTTGTTATAATCGAAAGAAATGTCCATAAAATAAATGGGAGATAACTTTCTGTGTTAAAAAGTTTTTTATCTAAAACATTTTGGATACACATCCTTATAAAATAACCCAAATATAATAATCCATAAACGATTGGGGTGTAAATCCAGGATAAATATCTTACGGTGATGTTCTTTTTCATTGTTAAGTATTGAAAAAATGGTTCTAACGCTGATATTTCAAAATCGTAAACGGTGTTTGTGTACAAATGGTGGCTTAAAGCGTGGCTTATTCGCCAAGATCTATAACGAATTAAATTAATTTATTTAATTATTTTATATAGGTGTTTCTGTGAGTCGTGGAATAATTTTAATCAATATTTTCTTAAACGATTTCGCCTCAAATCGCCGAAGTGGCTTGCGGGCGAAGCGCAGGCTTTGATATATTAACTCAAAATCGTACATTTTGGAAGATTATAGCGCCTCGCCCGCAAGCGATCTCGGCGGAGTTAAGATATAAACATCGTCTTATAAGAGATTTTGTATCTTTACTAAGATATATGAGGAACGATTTTGCCTCAAATCGTCGAGGTAGCTTGCGGGCGAGACGCAGGAATTGAAATATTAACACGAAATTGTCCATTTTGGAAGATTGTAGCGCCTAGCCCGCAAGCGACCTCGGCGGAGTGAAGATATAACTAAGATATATGAGGAACGATTTTGCCTCAAATCGCCAAGGTCGCTTGCGGGCGAGGCGCAGGAATAGAAATATTAACACGAAATCGTCCGTTTTGGAAGATTGTAGCGCCTCGCCCGCAAGCGACCTCGGCGGAGTGAACATATAACTAAGATATATGAGGAACGATTTTGCCTCAAATCGCCGAGGTCGCTTGCAGGCGAGGTGCGGGATTTGAAATATTAACACCAAATCGTGCGTTTTGGAAGATTGTAGCGCCTCGCCCTGCAAGCGACCTCGGCGGAGTGAAGATATAACTAAGATATATGAGGAGCGATTTTGCCTCAAATCGTCGAGGTCGCTTGCGGGCGAGGCGCAGGAATAGAAATATTAACACGAAATCGTCCGTTGTGGAAGATTGTAGCGCCTCGCCCGCAAGCGACCTCGGCGGAGTGAAGATATAAACATCGTCTTATAAGAAACTTTGTATCTTTACAGATATATGAGGAACGATTTTCACTCAAATCGCCGAGGTCGCTTGCAGGCGAGGTGCGGGATGTGAAATATTAACACCAAATCGTGCGTTTTGGAAGATTGTAGCGCCTCGCCCGCAAGCGACCTCGGCGGAGTGAAGATATATGAGGAACGATTTTGCCTCAAATCGCCGAGGTCGCTTGCGGGCGAGGCGCAGGATTTGAAATATTAACACCAAATCGTCCGTTTTGGAAGATTGTAGCGCCTCGCCCGTAAGCGACCTCGGCGGAGTGAACATATAACTAAGATATATGAGGAACGATTTTGTCTCAAATCGCCGAGGTCGCTTGCGGGCGAGGCGCTAGATTTGACATATCAAAGTTTCTAGAAGATATTACTTAGACAACTCGATTGCTAGATTTCACTCCTCAAGATTTTTATTTCTGGAGGCGTATTTGTGATTAAAATAATACCACGACTGTATAAATATTTTTGATTATACCTTGAAGACATCGTTGTTAAATCAAAATAAAACCTCCTAAAATTATCTTTTTGGTGAAAAAAATTATGTGCTGCAATTGAAGTTAAGGTTAAAACTAACCCGGAGATAGCGCCCAAAAGATAACTTTCTTTCAATAAACACCCACTCGTGGTTAATATAAACATTAATAATAGCCCATCGGTGATTAATTTCGTTTTATTTTGTAACGATTTTATTAATTCCGACGATTTATTAATTTCATTTCTCACGTTTTTCTTCAACGTTTGATATAAATCATTTTTTTCGAAAGTAAATGGCGAATTTCTTGGGGTGTTTATAGTTTTAATGAAATATTTTGGTAAAAACGCTTCTGGTAGTGTTGAAATATGGTTTGATTCAAACGCTTCGGTTATATCGGTACCCTTTAAGAATTAATTTAATAATTTAATTAAATACAAATTTAATTTTTTATTTTACCTCTGTTAATTCCAACCAATCTTTTCCCCCGGGATGGATTTTAATAAAATCGTTAAAATCGTATAATTTATTATGAATTCTCCACAATCCACTTAAATTATCATCCTTTCGTTTCCCTTCTAACCAAATTTCTGGTGAATGTAACGGATGATCTCTTAGGTTTGGATAATTTTTGATTCCAATGGTGGATTTTGGTTTTTCTAATAATTCAAAAGGATTGTTTTGAATTATTACGTTGAAAAGATTGATGAAAAAATCTATAAAGTTAATATAAAATAACCAAATTTTTTTAATAACTAAAAACCTTTAAAACTTTGTGATTCTTTCCCTATCATATTGAATCTTTTAAAAATTATGACTGATTTGCATCAATATTAAACAACAACTGGCCGATTATTTTCGATGTTTGCAAAGTCATCCACTATTTAAACGTTTTACCTTGAATTTTTAACAATTCCTTTTATTCTTCAATTACAGAGAAATTGCTATAAATAACAAATAACAACATAAAAAGAAAATAAATATCAAACAAACATGTTAATGTAACGTGTTTGCACTTCAATATTTTTAATGGTGTGTTTTAGACCTTTTTGCAACTTGGGTAACAATAAACGTCATCTAAACTAATCAATTATTTTCTCATTTAATATTTTGAGATCCTAAGGAAAGATTTTGCAATAAAAAGAGAACGGGAATCCAACAAGAGAAAATACAGAAGAGTCAAAACGACTCTAATAATTCACCTTTCCCCTCAGAAACTGCATTGCTGGTTGAAGCCTAAATACTGTTGGTTGATATGCTGCTAGAAATACGAGATATCGATGGTTGAATTATAGATACTGTTAATAGAAGACTATATACTGCTGACAGAAGACTATATATTGCTAAAAATACTACATATCGCTGGTTGAAGTATAGATACTGGTAGCAAAAGACTATATACTGCTGGTAGAACATTATATACTGCTAGAAATACTAGATATCGATAGTTGAAGTATAGATACTGTTAGTAGAAGACTATATACTGCTGACAGAAGACTATATATTGCTAGAAATACTAGATATCGCTGATTGAAGTATAGATACTGGTGGTAAAAGACTATATACTGCTGGTAGAACATTATATACTGCTAGAAATACTAGATATCGATAGTTGAAGTATAGATACTGTTAGTAGAAGATTATATATTGCTGACAGAAGACTATATATTGCTAGAAATATTAGATATCGCTGATTGAAGTATAGATACTGTTAGTAGAAGATTATATACTGCTGATAGAAGACTATATATTGCTAGAAATACTAGATATCGCTGATTGAAATATAGATACTGGTGGTAAAAGACTATATACTGCTGGTAGAACATTAAATACTGCTAGAAATGCTAGATATCGCTGGTTGAAGTATAGATACTGGTGGCAAAAGACTATATACTGCTGGTAGAACATTATATACTGTTAGAAATACTAGATATCGATGGTTGAGGTATAAATATTATTCGCAGAAATCAATATACTGCTGACAGAAGACTATATATTGCTAGAAATACTAGATTTCGATGATTGAAGTATAGATACCGCTAGTAGAAGACTATATACAGCTAAAAATACTAGATGCTGCTAATTGAAGAGTAGATACTGCTAGCAAAAGACTAAATAGCCCTATATAAATCAACGTAGCATTGATTAGAGTATTAAGAAGTGTAAGATATTAAGTTCTTAACCGTGGCGACAAAACATACATAATTGGTACCAACTCTAAAATTAAAAATGACGTTTAAGTCAATGCAAAGTGAGTAGGATTAATAAAAAAAATAGATAATTTATTTCTTTTTACACAAACCAGTTTTTATATAAATTACAAAATTGTTTTAAGTGGTTTCCGATTCGGTTCTATTCTCGATAATTGTTTAAACTGTCCGAAAGTTAATCCCCAGATAGTATTTAATTTCAACTCGACCCCGAATTCTTTACAAGTCTTTTGTAAAATCGGATATAATTTTCCGAGCTTTCCATGATCAATAGTAGGGAAAAGATGGTGTAATCCATGATCGCCAAAAGACAATAAAACCCAAAAATGCGACCCTAAAATTTCCTTTCGATCCATCACAGCGTCTAATTGATGGATTCCCCAATCTAAATTTGTTTGTGACCTTAAACGACGCCAATTAAAATGTGTTTATTTTATAGAGATATTTACCTTGATGCATCGCCGTCATGGAAAATATCTGGGTGATGATGCGCCGCGTTTATTCCGATAATTCCGAAAAATAAACTCGCAACGCTTTGAATGAAAAAGAATGTTTTTAAGGTTTCCATAAAAGTAACGTTTGAACCAAAATAAATTAAAAAGAAATAAAGAATTGGAAGAAAATTTTCTTTTCTTGGTAATTTTTTATATTTAATTAATTGGACGATCCTAAAAATTAAATCAAAAAAATATTATACGTATAATATAATTTGATTTTGAATTACTTACATTCTTATAGAAGAAGCTGTAAAAACAACCGTATAAAAAATCGGGGAATAAATCCAAGATAAATATCTAGCAACGAAATTTTTTTGATGTGGCAAATATTGCAAAAACGGTTCTAAAGCGGATATCTCCAAATCGTTGATTGTATTAGGAAAAAGATGATGACTCAAAGCGTGGCTAACCCGCCAATCACGCGAAGACATCAACGTTAAATCAAAATAATACATCCTAAAGTTATCTTTTTGGTGGAAAAAATTATGCGCGGCAATCGCGAGGAAATTCAAACTAACCCCAGCTATAATCCCAAAAAAATAAGATTTTTGCGAATTCGCCAATAACGAGGTAATCATAAAGATAACAAAAATCGTATCGATAATCATTTTCGATTTGTGCGAATAAGATTCAGGGATATTTTTGATTTCATTTTGAACCCGCTTTTTTAATGTTCTATAAAAACCGTTTTCTTGAAACGTAAACGGCGATTGCCTCGGGAAATTAGCCGATTTTTTTAGGTACTTTCCAAGCAGATTTTCAGCTTTTCCATTTAAATGGTGACATTCAAAGGCTTCGGTGATATCGGTACCCTTTCGATTTAAATTAATTAATTTTAATTAAATTAATTGATTTTATTTGTTACCTTAGTTAGGATTAACCAATCTTTCCCACCCGGATGTAAGTTGATAAAATCACTAAAATCGTACAATTTATCGTGGATTCTCCATAAACCGTTTATGTTATCATCGATTCGTTTCCCTTCTAACCAATTATCACACGTTTTTAAGTGGCAATCTCTTAATGAAGGGTATTTAAACCCTAACGATGATTTAGGACCATCTGTATTAGGCGGCATTGTTAACTATGAAATGACTTTGCTCGTTTTGATGTGATACTCGAATTTAATCGGTGTTTCCTTATCGCGCTGAGTGATGAAATGTGTTTATATTTAGAAATTAAAAAAATAATTAAACTTTAAAACGTAAATTAATCGAAGATAAGCTCTCACGTCACAAACTATGTTGCTTCTAGATATTGCTGGTTCAGATATAGATACTGTTGGTAGAAGACTATANAAAGTCAGGTCGTTTAGTCTACCCAATAGATAAAGGGGTGAAAGCAATGTGGGTTTTGCTCGAACCAAGAATGCATATTATGCAAGTTTACACCAGCTTGTGGACAGATGCTTCATGCATCCATAGTATTTGTGATAAAAGGTTTGGATTTGCCCAAATCATATTTAAAAGTCAATGGTCATAGTACAGTCTGTTGCTTAAGCATGTTCTCAATGCTAAATTGATATCCCAATAATTGAGTGTCTTCTGATTTTTTGAACAAATGTCTGCTGGAGCAGATTTTTCTAGAAAAATTCGAATAACTCGAGAACGACCGAATCAAATTGCAAAAAGTAAAGTTATTTATAAACCTTGAAAACAGACAAATCCAAATATGTAAAAATATACAGTTCCATTTAAAAAAATAAAGTTGGTGGCGACTTCCGGTATAAGCGGAAGTGCAAGAAATCTGAAAATATTTTAGACAAAGAGATCGTAATTGATAATACTTAAGTCTGAATTCTTAAATTTTTATTTTCGCCAGAACTCCAGAAACGTCTAATGACCGGTATAATACACCCTGTATATTGTTGGCAGAAAACTGTATGCTTCTAGAAATACTAGATATCGATGGTTAAGGTACAAATACTGTTGGGAAAAGGCTATAGGCTGCTAAAAAATAATAGATGCTTCTAGTTGAAGAGCAGATACTGCTTGCAGAAGACTATATATTGTCGGCAGAAAACTGTATACTTCTAGAAATACTAGATATCGATGGTTAAGGTACAAATACTGTTGGGAAAAGGCTATATATAGGCTGCTAAAAAATAATAGATGCTGCTAGTTGAAGAGGAGATACTGCTGGCAGAAGATTATATACTTCTAAAAATACTAGATATCGATGATTAAGCTATAGATACTGTAGGTGGATGACTATATATTGCTAGAAATACTAGATATTGCTGGTTGAAGTATGAATACTGTTGCTGGGCAACTATATTTTGCTAGAAATATTAGTTTTGATGTGATACTCGAATTTAATCGGTGTTTCCTTATCGCGCTGAGTGATGAAATGTGTTTATATTTAGAAATTAAAAAAATAATTAAACTTTAAAACGTAAATTAATCGAAGATAAGCTCTCACGTCACAAACTATGTTGCTTCTAGATATTGCTGGTTCAGATATAGATACTGTTGGTAGAAGACTATATACTGCTAAAAAATACTAGATGCTTCTAGTTGAAGAGCAGATACTGCTTGCAGAAGACTATATATTGTCGGCAGAAAACTGTATACTTCTAGAAATACTAGATATCGATGGTTAAGGTACAAATACTGTTGGGAAAAGGCTATAGGCTGCAAAAAAATAATAGATGCTGCTAGTTGAAGAGTAGATACTGCTGGCAGAAGATTATATACTTCTAAAAATACTAGATATCGATGATTAAGCTATAGATACTGTAGGTGGATGACTATATATTGCTAGAAATACTAGATATTGCTGGTTGAAGTATGAATACTGTTGCTGGGCAACTATATTTTGCTAGAAATACTAGTTTTGATGTGATACTCGAATTTAATCGGTGTTTCCTTATCGCGCTGAGTGATGAAATGTGTTTATATTTAGAAATTAAAAAAATAATTAAACTTTAAAACGTAAATTAATCGAAGATAAGCTCCCACGTCACAAACTATGTTGCTTCTTGGAGGAAACTTGCTTGTTGGGATTAATGGAGATGTATTAGCAGAAAGAAGTGAATGTTAAATGTTGGAAAAATCATAATTGCGGACTTTGTTTTGGTTGTAGAAATCACTTTAGAGAATAAAGTATGTTCATGGTTTTAATGTAATATGAAAAACTTTTAATAATTGTTATTCATAAATTCTGTTACAGGTAATTAATAATTGCTTAAGAAATCGTGCTTATTTGCGAAGATTAATTGTCTCAGTTAGTTGGCAGAAGACTATATACTTCTAGAAAAACTAGATATTGCTGGTTCGGATATAGATATTGTTGATAGAAGACTATACACTGCTAAAAAATACTAGATGCTGCTAGTTGAAGAGTAGATACTGCTAGCAGAAGACTATATACTTCTAGAAATTCTAGATATCGATGGTTGAGATATAGATACTGTTGGCAGAAGGCTATAGATTGCTAAAAAAATAGTAGATGCTGGTAGTTGAAAAGTAGATACTGTTGGCAGAAGACTATATACTTCTAGAAATACTAGATATCGATCTTTGAGATATAGATACTGTTGGCAGAAGACTATATATCGCTAGAAATAGTATATATCGCTGGTTGAAGTATAAATACTGTCGGATTAACAAAATTTGATAGATATTCTAGTAAACGACATATAGAAAAAGTTTAAGATCAAACTCAAAACAGCCATTCTAAGCTCATTAGAGATAATGCTACAAAGCTCTACGACAATTTTTTGATTTATGATTTGATTTACAATTTAAAATTGATGGAAGAGTCTGCTTCAGCCGATCACGAAGCAGCAAAGTTGTATCCAGAATCCCTAATGAAGATAATTCAAGATAGTGGGAAATATCGATACTATTCTGTTCTAAATATAATTTTATTATAAAAATAAGGAGATGATTTATGCAAAATAATTCTATGAAGTAAACACGTAGAATGTAACTCTCTACATCGCGACATACTCACCCAACCAACCCACCCCAAAAAATGGGATACTTTCTAATGTCAAATATGCAACGAAGACACGAATTTTGAACGTGCTGAATTCGACGAATATCATCAATGCTTGAGTTATAAAGAGCATCGGCAAAATTGGCAAACAGAGAGCATTTAATACTTCACATAAATGAGCTCTAAGTGTAGCATATGTCGATTGTTATTTATTTATAGAGTAGCTTTAGAGTGGAATATTGCGAGTTAACAAGCTTACTAGTATGTTTCTTGAACCTCAAACGAGAGTCCATGATAACACCGAGATTGCGAGTTTTAGAGGAAGTTAGTAAGCTGGAACTAAATGAAAGTTGTTTAACAAAGGTAAGTCAGCTATCAATCTGCCACCGCTGGGCCCAAAAATAACCACTAAGGATTTGGAAGGATTAATCGTTAAAGTTGCTAACTTGTCCAAGTCAGTATATCAGCTTTACTATACTGAGAGTAAGGCTATAGACTGCTAAAAACACTATATGCTGTTAGTTGAAGAGTAGATATTGCTGGCAGAAGATTATATACTGCTAGCAGAAAACTAGATACTTCTAGAAATACTAGATATCGCTGGTTGAAGAGTAAATATTGTTGGCAGAAGACTATATACTTCTAGAAATATAAGATATCGTTGGTTGAGGTATAGATACTGTTGGTATAGGACTATATACTGCTGGCAGAAGATTATATATTGCTAGAAATACTAGATATGGTTGAAGTATACTATTGGTAGAAGACTATATGTATATTCGGATTGAATCGGTTATTAAAAAATAAATTTAAATTTAAAACGTAAATTAATATAATTAAATTTTTTGTTTTAGCTTTTCTGGAATCGATGGAGGAGGGCCCCATTCACATTCCCCGCGAGTCTTTTCGCATCGCGTATTCGGTGGGGGCCCGTTCATTCTCTAAAGACCCGTCTAAAGAGGATCACGACGGCAAAACCAGCGAACGCTTTCCCGGTAATCGGCGGCGCAAAAAATTTCTTCGACTAGAAGTAGAGGTTAGTGGTAACGGAGCAAACAGTGTTGTTGTGGGTTAAGAGTTCAAACGGCCTCACCGACCACTTCAAAGACTTTAAAGGCTTTTCGTGCTTCCTCCTTCCACCAGTTCTCTTCGTTTAAAGTTCACCTGGTTCTTCATCGTCTGGCGAATGTCTGCGCCAGAATCGAAAGAGATCTTGATGTGGAGTCAAGCGAAACGTGTTAAAATATTAATTTGAAATAAGAAGATACAAATTATTGTAAGGTGAGATTATTTTTTAATAAAATAAATAATTAATTAAATGTCCGGATAGAAAGCAACAATAACATTCCTTAATAAACACACGAATGCACTTTGCAAGTGGAGAAAGTGAAAATGTACCCACGTGATATTACAAAGAGTCTATGTAACATTAGAGAGTGTTCTAAAAAGTGTAATTTTGAAGTTATAACATTAAAATAATCATAAAGTTATGTGAAATTAATTTTTAAACAAAATTTACTTTCAATTTTGCAGTGAAATAACTGCGTTAGAAAGTTGCATTAAACGGTTCACTTAAAATGGTTTGACTGTGAGTTTAGACATAGAAGAAGAAAGTGATCTGGACCTATAAAAAGGAAAATCGTAGGTGATGGAAAATCACCTACGTTTCTTTCCATTTTAATTTTAATACCAACTTAATTAACTTAAGGTCAATTTCCTTTTATTAAATCATTAACCTATAGCGTAAAAGGAAAAGCTTTATTTTTAATCAATTTAATTAATTTTTTTTATTTTAGAATAATCAAAAAGATGGGAAATAATTTAAGTGATAAATCGTGCATTTCGGAAAAATCTCAAAGCGCCAAAGAACGAACCAACAAAGTGATCTTTTTGCTTCACCGTACATGGGCGATTATAATCGCGGAAAAATGGTCGAAATCGAGAACATCAAACGCTTCGAAGGAGATTAATAGCGACTTGGAATCTCAATATTCTTTCTGTAGCTGTTCGCAGTGTCATCGTAACGATGATATTAAAAGTGACACATCGAGGTAAGAATTTTTCTTTTTTTCCGTTTTAATGTTAATGAAATAAAACAATGGATTTACTACGCGACGTTATGTTAATTTACATAACGTAATAATTAGAGATTATGGAACGTGTGAAATAGAGCCCAGAGATTGCAAACGAAAGATAGTTGTCATTGACCTCAAAAATATGTATCGATGAACTAGATATTATTAAATTAATTAAATAACTTCTTAATTATTACATATTAGTAATTGAAACTTAAGATATTTATTGTATATGTTTACCTAAACCTTATTCTATTCGCCTTTTAACTAAATAAGGTAAGTGGGACACGATCAAGCCCATTTTACGATATCGTTCGAACAATTTTAAAACATTATTGTTTTAGTTTTAATGGAAAAATCGATTAAAATGATTTCTTACAATTCACAACATGGTAAAAACGCCTAATTATTATAAAAGAGTTAATTCAAAAATCGAAAGGATCCCTATTCAGCAAGGTACAAATAAGATGTTAATCCGTTGGAGGAGAAAGGAAGAAATAAAACACAATAAACTCTAACTCTACTGAGATCATCGAGATCTCTAACTCTCTAAGAACAAACCCCGCCATAACATATACAGGGTGTCCCATTAAGGGTCCTGGACCATTCTACCGATTTGAATATTTTTAGTCTTGTTTGAAAGACCATTTCATGCTGTTTTTAAAAATGTTTTCAGTAAGACCGCTTAGTTTAAAACAAATAAGCTAGAGGGCGTTATCTGCAGCGGTTACATATTTTTGTGATGTTCGAAAGAAAGTTAAATGGAACGGTACTATTTACTTCACAGACCCTTAATAACCATAAAATTTGCTAAATATTAGTGAAAACCGCATCTCGATATCTCCATCCATTCTCGAATTATAGAAGAAAATGTTAAAAATTCGTATATCTTAATCGGATCAAGTTACCTTAGGAAACAAATAAGAGAGCACAAAAATATTATTCCTTCGTACTTTATCCAAGCTTATACAACTGCTTCAAAACTACTTTTGTAGAAATCAGCTCGTAGAAGAGTTCAAGAAACAACATTGAGACTTTTGTGTTCGAAATCTACATAAACAAGTTACTTAATTGCTCAATAATCTAAGAGTTTAGAAGGATTAAGAAGACGTAGAGATGTAGTTTTCTTATAATAACCTAAACAAAGCGGAGTAAATCTTTTTTGTATGTACCAGTTAGCATCAGATTCAAACTATTTTGTAGTATCTATACGATTTGAAAACTAAAACACACTCAACTCAACATGCTAGCAGATTAGCCTATTCTATTGCTTAAAAAGCAATAAAAAAGCAAGAAATGACGATGTCTTGAAATTAATGAAGCAGTTATTTTAAGAAAGACAAAAGGAGGAGCTGTATGTAATACTCTAAATGAAACATCTTCTTTACTATAGCTGATATCTCTTTACTATATGTAGATATTAAGCCTGATTCTTCCATTATTTTGAATATTTTAGTTGTCTTCCATATTCATAAGGTGCTATGTGCTATGTAATGTCAGGTAGATTGTGAAAGGTCAGTTATGTTTACTAGAATGAAGTAAAAATTGTTGGGTAAGGTTATGGAAGTTGCGCAACACCAGGTAGATTGGAAAAACTCTGACATGTTTCTACCCTAGGAAAATAATGTTGCGTTAGGTTGGTTTTGTTTTTGAGAGTAAATAACCTTCAGTAAAAAATGTTGGGTTAAATTATGAACATTACACAATGTGAGATAGATTGGGAAAGATCGGTTATGGTTACTAGAGTGAACACCTCGTGGTAAAAATGTTGGGCGAGATTTGGTTTGTGTTTCAGGGTAAATAACCTTCAGTATAAAAATGTTGAGTTCTTGAATATTAAGCACTACGTTGAGAGATGGATGATAACAGATTGCCGAAAATTCTCCAAGGGATGGTATGAAAGTTGGATGGTCTCTAGATTATAGAGTACAAGGCAAAGGTCTTAAAAGAAGGCAGAAGAAATCAACCTCACCTTGTGCCTTAAGAGTGCCACAATCTTGTATAGCCGAGAAACGAGGAATATCGTCTCGAACTCAAGGAAGTACCTGGGAGAACATAGTCTTTTGCCAACCTTACCTAAACAATCCTGAACATGATTAAACTCTACAAGACATCAATTACTGGTTACTCTCATTGGATTAGGTTACAAATTATCTGAGTAATGTCCTTAGAGCTGTTTTCAATGTATTCCCCACAGTTACTACAGTGCTACCGTACTTCTCCTTAATTACGACGACGTGTCAAAGTTCACGTATCAANTTGGTATTAATATTTAAAAATTAAATTGCTATCTTCATTGTTGCTAACTTCGGGTTTAATGTCTTTTATTCCAACTCTTTTTGTCTTTTGAGATAAGTGCGTCTTGTTTGGACTCATATTAAATTTTTTTTAATGAAGATGGCAAATATGTCAAAATTGACATTGACTTTCAAACCGGAAGTGATTGTATTTCCATTAATATTAACGTTAAATATGTCGAGTTTGGACTCATTTGAAAGGATTTTTTATGAAGATGACTAATATAATAATAAAATTAAAGTTGACATTGACAACTGAAAGTTTTTTTCACGACTAAATCCGAATGTTTTAGTTCAATAAAAATATACAACATAGTGACATCTTATGCTAACTATATTCTATTGTTAAACCAGGAGGAGTAAACGCGAAAGTCAGATTTACACTAGGAAAAATCACCAGAAAATATCACTAGATATTTTGGCGGTAAATTTAAATTAATAANCTCCATCCATTCTCGAATTATAGAAGAAAATGTTAAAAATTCGTATATCTTAATCGGATCAAGTTACCTTAGGAAACAAATAAGAGAGCACAAAAATATTATTCCTTCGTACTTTATCCAAGCTTATACAACTGCTTCAAAACTACTTTTGTAGAAATCAGCTCGTAGAAGAGTTCAAGAAACAACATTGAGACTTTTGTGTTCGAAATCTACATAAACAAGTTACTTAATTGCTCAATAATCTAAGAGTTTAGAAGGATTAAGAAGACGTAGAGATGTAGTTTTCTTATAATAACCTAAACAAAGCGGAGTAAATCTTTTTTGTATGTACCAGTTAACATCAGATTCAAACTATTTTGTAGTATCTATACGATTTGAAAACTAAAACACACTCAACTCAACATGCTAGCAGATTAGCCTATTCTATAGCTTAAAAAGCAAGAAATGACGATGTCTTGAAATTAATGAAGCAGTTATTTTAAGAAAGACAAAAGGAGGAGCTATATGTAATACTCTAAATGAAACATCTTCTTTACTATAGCTGATATCTCTTTACTATATGTAGATATTAAGCCTGATTCTTCCATTATTTTGAATATTTTAGTTGTCTTCCATATTCATTAGGTGCTATGTAATGTCAGGTAGATTGTGAAAGGTCAGTTATGTTTACTAGAATGAAGTAAAAATTGTTGGGTAAGGTTATGGAAGTTGCGCAACACCAGGTAAATTGGAAAAACTCTGACATGTTTCTACCCTAGGAAAATAATGTTGCGTGAAGTTGGTTTTGTTTTTGAGAGTAAATAATCTTCAGTAAAAAATGTTGGGTTAAATTATGAACATTACACAATGTGAGATAGATTGGGAAAGATCGGTTATGGTTACTAGAGTGAACACCTCGTGGTAAAAATGTTGGGCGAGATTTGGTTTGTGTTTCAGGGTAAATAACCTTCAGTATAAAAATGTTGAGTTCTTGAATATTAAGCACTACGTTGAGAGATGGATGATAACAGATTGCCGAAAATTCTCCAAGGGATGGTATGAAAGTTGGATGGTCTCTAGATTATAGAGTACAAGGCAAAGGTCTTAAAAGAAGGAAGAAGAAATCAACCTCACCTTGTGCCTTAAGAGTGCCACAATCTTGTATAGCCGAGAAACGAGGAATATCGTCTCGAACTCAAGGAAGTACCTGGGAGAACATAGTCTTTTTCCAACCTTACCTAAACGATCCTGAACATGATTAAACTCTACAAAACATCAATTACTGGTTACTCTCATTGGATTAGGTTACAAATTATCTGAGTAATGTCCTTAGAGCTGTTTTCAATGTATTCCCTGCACAGTTACTACAGTGCTACTTCTCCTTAATTACGACGACGTGTCAAAGTTCACGTATCTAAATCGAAATCAGATTATTAGTTGCTAATTTACAAAATTAAAACAATATTCTAGAATCATTATGTTAAAATCGACGATTTTTTTTAATCAATGTGAAATGACCCAAAAACACGTTAAAAATAAAAAGAATGTTCGGAAAGGTGACTAACGCTAGATTAACTTTAGTTATAAATCTTCTATTATATGATAACAAACTTCAGGTTTAAAATGTCAACCTCAATTTTGACATATTTGTAATCTNGTCAATAACCTAACCTGCAAATTCAAAATCAAAATTCAAAATTGCCTGTGTGTGAACCTTTCTCGCATTCAACCAATCACGTGCAAGGTCAATCTGGTGACAAATTTAAAATACTCCTCCTGGTATAAAAACAGAGTATAGCGCAATTGATTCGAAAATTTTTCTGGGATATAGGCAACCAAATATACGTATAATATAGTTGGGTTCCGTAACGTCGACAAAAATGTTAATAAAAAGAAACTTTATATTAATTGCACTAATATTGTTACAAAAATTATAAAAGAAAATATAAGAAATGTTATAAATCACAAAATAATTAATTACTTATTCAAAAAATTCATTTTTTGATGATTTTAACAATTTTATTAAACAAAAAGAAAAATTGAGAAAACCATATAATATTCAAAAATTCTTTTAAAGCAAACTATTTGAAAATCTAAAGACGCCTCATCTAAAAAATGTTAATCGGTCGTCTTTCTTGGTCCCTTTCTTCTCGTCTCTTTCTTTCGGAGTCGCGTTGACTCGCGACAACCCGCGGGTACAGCTACCGTTTGAGTCGTTTCAGTTTGTGAGGCCGAGAAATAAACAGTTTCTCGAAGG